GACTGGTTTGGCTCAGTGGATAGAGCGTCGGCCTGCAGACTGAAAAGTCCCAGATTCGATTCTGGTCAAGGGCATGTACCTTGGTTGTGGGCACATCCCCAGTAGGAGGTGTGCAGGAGGCAGCTGATTGATGTTTCTCTCTCATCAATGTTTCTAACTCTCTATCTCTCTCCCTTCCTCTCTGTAACAAGTCAATAAAATATATTAAAAAAAATAAAAAATAACTTTCCATAAATTAAAAAAAAAATGTAATTACATATGTGTTTTCCGATGGTCTTAGGCGACCCCTGTGAAAAGGTCGTTTGACCCCCAAAGGGGTCTCGACCCACAGGTTGAGAACCGCTGATCTAGATGGAAAAACAAAGGGCCAAGAATGGCCAAGCCATTTTGGAGATGGGCCGGGGCGGGGAAGGCTGTAAATCCTTCCGTCAGATCCCGGGAGTAATTACCAACTGGAGTCATGGGGACCAGCAGGCCATGGCTTCCCATACGTGGTGCTTCTTCACCACGATTTGCTGGAAGTTCTTCAGTTTTGGTTTTGATTTGTTCTCTGCCATGAGTCATTTTAAGACAGATTTACAAATGTAACTATTATAACTATGGACATTAGGGTCTGTTGTTTCCTGGTTTTATGTTTGTTGTTTTACGGTCTTATAATGAGAGACTGTTGTCTGGATTATTTCTCTCTCCCTCTGGGAAGTTCTGAAACTTTCTGAGGCATAATAGATGGTTATGACAGAAAATGTCCCAAGAGCAAGCGAAAGGAAGGCGCCTTCTCTCGTTTCCTATTGTAGAGTTTTAAATCTGTTGTTTCCGGTTGCCAAAATCTTTGACGCCCCACTAGCTTTCGCTTTATAAATGTGTAGGGGGAGGGGGCGTGCATAGAAGCCCATGTCTCCCACCTTTATGAGAGACGGAGTGTGTGTGGTTTTTTGTGGGTTGTGTGTGTGTGTGTGTGTGTGTGTGTGTGTGTGGTATTCGTGGCTTTGAGAGGATTCTGGAAGATTAGTGGGAATGCCAACTCCAACATTAAAAACGACAGGTGGTTGCAAATATTTCTTTTGTGTTTCCCATCTATCTGCTCACCTGATAAGCAATAACCATCACTGTACAAGAGAAATCCTTCGATGGGGTAAGCAGTAAAATGTATTCACTTGGGGACCTTGTTTAAGAACTTCATCCCCAGCCCAAGGTCATACAGAAATCTCTTACATTTCTTTCTGGTAGTATTTTATTTCTCTCTTCCACGTGTACGTGCACCCTGTTGCAGGGGTTTCTCGGTCTTGCACTGTGGACATTTGGGGCTGTGTCATTCCGTGTTGGACAGCTGTCCTGTGCACTGTAGGATGCCTAAGTGCCAGTAGCACTCCACAAGTTGTGATAACAAAAATATCTTAGACATTGCCAAATGTAATCTGGGATTACACCCCCCATTGAGAACTACCCGTCTACCTGGAGTTTGTTGTATATGGCGTGAGGTAAGGATCCAGTAATTTTTCTCGATATGATAAATCAGTTTTACTTAAAGAACTGGTTCATAATGCCATGACTGTCACATACCAAGTTCTGGTATATGCATGACTCTGCCACTGCGTGTGGTAGACATGGGCACAGAGCCCCCTGCATGTGGGTAGAAGGGGGCAGAAGAGGAGACTGTCTCTCCCAGGTCCCGCCCAGCTTCCGGGGGAGGCCGTAGAGTATTGGTGGGCATGTTTCAGAATCCCCAATGTGGATCCAAATTCCTGACCCCTCGTGTGTGAGGCCTGTTTTCCTCTCTCTGGAAGGTTGCAGGGTCTTCACTTTCTTTCTGGGGCTCTGCAGTTTCACCATCTGCTTTTGTGTCAGTCTTTGGTCTTTTTTATTTATTTATTTTTTCTTTCGATATGCTTGGCTCTCATTGTGCCTTTCAGCCGGAAGCTCATCTTCTCCAGTTGGGGAGGTTTCATTGTATTGTTCATTTGATCACCTGCTCCCTATTTCTCCCCCTCCCTTCCCCCCCCCTCTCTCCCTCTCTGGACCTCCCGGAATAATCTCTGCTTTTCTTATCTTTCCATGCTTTTATCTTTTTGTTCTGTTTTTCATGTGCATTTTTCAACTTTATCTTCAAGATTGCTCATTTCCACTGTTATACTTTGAAGTTCCAAGCTCCCGTTTCCCCGAGCGTTTTTCACCACAGTGCCCTTTGCCTGTCTTCCAGACGAGCTGTCTTTTGTTTTCGCCCTGAAGGTAAAAGTTTATTTGAAGTTTCTTATGCAGCCTGCACGGTCTCTATCTCCCCTGAGTTCCTTTTATTTTCCTGTTGATAATCTCTTTTATGTGAGTGATTTCTCTCAAATATCAGTTATTTGTTGTCCACTGATATTTGTTGTGTTAGGAGTGAGGGAAGCTAGGCTGGTGGAAGTTCTGGGTGAATCTGAAGTTGTAAACTTCAGGGCAGCTCTGGTGGACGCAGTGTCCCTGGGGTCCCCCACTGTCAGTTTCTGCCCCTCCCACCTGGGGTCTGGGCCTCTCTGCTTGTTCCTGAGGCCAGGCTGGTGGAGCATGTGGGCCCTCCCCCTGGCACGCAGGCGGCCCCACTCTGCCCACTGCTCCCTAAGAGCCTGTCCCAGGCTCTTGTTCTTCACGGCAGCAAGTCCATCATGTGAGCACTTAACACACTTAGCCAGTCTCCAGCTGGACATCGATGCCGTTTCAATATGTGTGACCACAATGATACGATAAACAACCTTTTTTTGTGCCTCAATTCACACCATCAGTAAGTTAAACTTTCTATGACTCAGTTTCCTCATCCACAAACAGGGAAAAGAGTATCTACCCAAGGGTGGTGAGGATTAAGGAAAGTAACATACTACAGCAAGTATGTCACACTCCCGGCCCGAGAACCCAAGCGGCTCACAACGAGTATTTTTGCGACCCAGCCAATGTAACAGTATATAAGAAATGTTTTAATAAAAAATTTTGTAACTTAATTTTTACAATATCCTGTTATACATAATTATTTTACAACATATATACTTTTATTGATTTCAGAGAGGAAGGGAGAGAGAGAGAGAGAGAGAGAGAAACATCAATGATGAGAGAGAATCATTGACCAGCTGCTTCCTGCATGCTCCCCACTGGGGATTGAGCCCACAATCCGGGCATGTGCCCTTGACCAGAATCGAACCTGGGACCCTTAAGTCTGCAGGCCGACGCTCTAGCTAGCCACTGAGCCAAACCGACTGGGGCTATACATAATTATTAACAACAAACTACAACTTTCGCTAATGACTGATTACTGTAATCGTGTTGCATTCATTTCCCTTTTCTCTCCACTAACACTAGCAGTGAATATTTTAGCAGCCAATTGCCACGTCATTAATCTTGTACTGACTTGTTTGGTGTGCACAACAGGAAATGTTTCATTTTCAGAGAACAAGAAAAATCAGTTTATTTGCATTACGCTTATTAGTTTGTGCAGTTATTCAGTGTCTGGTAAGTTAATGTTCAAGAAAAATATATTCTTTTAAAAAATGTATTTTGTTGATTTTTTACAGAGAGCAAGGGAGAGAGAGAGTTAGAAACATCGATGAGAGAGAAACATCGATCAGTTGCCTCCTGCACTCCCCCTACTGGGGATGTGTCCGCAACCAAGGTATATGCCCTTGACTGGAATCGAACCTGGGACCCCTCAGTCCGCAGGCTGATGCTCTATCCACTGAGCCAAACCGGTTAGGGTGAAAAATAATTTTTATTAAAATGTTCTATTATTTTATGTTAACGATGACTCATTTATTTCAGCCCTTTGTATTCAGCATGTCTCAATCGAAATAAACCTACGTTTCCATGGAAATTGAAGCTTTTGTTTCTCTGCAGCCCACGTACACTTAAACCTTGTTTATTTGGCCCATGTAAGCCTTTGAGTTCGACACGCCTGTATCACAGCCTGTCCCATCATGCCTGCGGGGAACCAGCACGCAGTATTAGCAGCTACTGCTGTTATTTGCAGGTGTGGCTGCAGGAGGTTCAAGGATACCTGCCTTTTCAGTTTGGAGCCACACACCTTAAATCCAAAGTCCTCCCCCAGGCAAAGTCTGTTCAAGCTTCTAACCTATGTCCTCAGCTTCCTGGACAACGCCCAGGGAGTGCCTGGCACTGCTCTCCGTTCCCAGGGCTTCCCAATGGTGGCCAAGCATCCCCCAGAGCCCCCGCTACGGCCCCCAAGGGGGACCTCGGAGATGTGGGTGGGTGCAGGCCTCCCTTTGCTGACCCAACGCTGCGGCCTGAGGCCTCTCAAGTGAGAGGTTGACTTCCTGAGGGGCTCCCCTATGTGAGAGTCCCCCTTTTGGGCCGGTGACGCTAAGGTTGGGCAAGGCTCCTCCAGGCTGCCCCCCATGGCTCCTCCTCCAGCCATCCCTGGGAGCCCCGACCCGCTCACACCCCAGTGCCTCCACTTGGCCTGGACTCTCTCCACTGTGGACACGCCTGCCCCCCACCCCCACCCCAGGTCCCCCAGGCTGGTTGATCTCTTCTCAGGCTCCATCCTTTGGCAACCTGGGTGGTGAGAGGCGGCAGCGGTGGGAGGCACCTGATCTCCGTGTTGCTCCTATGCCCGCAATGTCCGAGGAAGCCAGGAGGGCCCCACCTGCAGAAGAGTGACTAACCCTCCCACTAACCAGCCTGGGCTGCTCTGAGCTGCCCACACGTGTCCACTGGAGGGACCCCTCAGCTCCCAGTGTCCAGGACTAAAGTCCCCCGGCAAGCTGCCTGCTGGGGCTAGAAAGCCTGCTGATATAAGTGAGCCTTTTCTCTCGGGACAGGGACCTCCAGGGTAAGGATCTGTTATTTCTCTTCCTGTTTTTTTTTTTTTTTTCTCCTCTCTCTTCCTGGAGTTCAGCAAACAGACTGTGTTGCAAGCTCCCAGTAGACACTGATGGTGTTTTAGGATTTCAAGTGTCCTAGCCAGGCCACCTCCAGTGTCCCACAGCCCTTTCCCCCAGGAAACTCAATGCCCACGGCACCACTTTTCTCTTGGAAATTTTATTGGTCCAGGGAAGCCCCTGCCTCCTGCTGAGGGTGCCACAGGCCCTCACTGTTTCCCATTGCCATTGATGGGGCGGTTCACGTGCTCCGGGGAGGCCAGGAAGGCCTTGAGCTTGGGCCGGGCGCTGAGGCGAGACACATAGGCTGAGAGAAGGGGGAGGGAGTCCAGGCAGCTGGGGGCCAGGACCTGGTGAATCAGCAGCAAGTCCAGCAGGTTGTAGTCGGCGTAGGAGATCTGCAGGGTAGGGGCAGGGATCAGCAGGTGGGAGCAGACCAGAGGGTGAGGGGACGCGGGGGCCCAGGGCCTGAGCCGGTCCCTACGTCTGTCCAGCAATGAACGGCTCACGTACTCTCTGCACCTTTTCCCATTGGTAAGCGGGGGTGGCATGGGAGGGGCAGGACAGGGCCGTCGCTCACCTGGTTGCCCACGATGAAGGCCTGGCCCCCCTGGTTCTGGGAGAGCAGGGTCTCAAAGGGCTTCAGGCGCCCGGGCAGCTCCTTCACGTAGTCCTCCTTGCCCGCCTCCTGCCAGAGACATGGCACTGGTCACCCTCCTGACCCCCACACTGCAGCTCGCCCCCTCCTGTTGGCCCCATCTGTGACTCACCACCCTCAGAGCCCCATGCTCGGCGGCTGACTCCCACCCCATCCACTGCAGCAGCCGGTTCCTTCCTTCTCTCCCTGTGACCTCTCAGCAGATTCCTACGGAAGCCCTGGAGGATCCTCCTAGACCTCACTTTGGACCACACCCTGCTTAGACTCCTCCATGGCTCCCTCCTGCCAGCAGGAGTGGGTGTAAGCCCCGGGGTTCAGACCTTCCGGCCCTGGGCCTACTGCCCCTCCAGCTCCACCTCCTCCCACCCTGTCACGCACAGCCACACGCGCCTGCCTGTTAAACTAGTCTTGGGTCCCTGAATGCGCTCTGTGTCTGCATACCTGTGTACCTGAAAGTGCCAGCTCCCCTTCCAGGAGCTGGCTGTAGCTCCTCCTCCTCGCCCTCCCTGCTCCAGGAAGCCCTCCGGACCACCCCTGGCTCAATGTCTCCTGTCCTTGCACTGTTCTGCTATTGCTGGTTACTGGCCCCCAGCACAGAGCCACACCCCGCCCAGGCCCCCCGACCTAGGGCGGTCTCAGCTAGAGCCACATGAGGGGTGTGGGGTGGGATGAGAGTACAAGAAGGCCCATCTCTGCCGCCCGTGCCCACCCCGTGCTCACGTAGTTGGTGTAGATGAGGGTGGCGTATTTGCAGCGGAGGTCCTCCACACCGTCGTTCACCACATCCACCAGGGCCGCCTCGCGCTGGTCCTTCCCATACAGCCCTGGGGCAGGGAGAGCAGGGAAGGGGGTGCAGGAGAGCCCACAGCATGACTGGTCAGCTGACACACAGGAGAGCGGATCTACAGACAGGCCATGTGGCTGCCTGGGGGCCCCAGCTAGGCAGGAGGGAGGAGGATGTGGACGGAGGGAAGGAGCGGTCCTGACCAGGTAGGTGCTCAAACTCGGTGGGAGGCAGCCTGGCATGGGGCAAGGGCTGCAGGCGACCTGGGCTTGACCTCGGGCAAGCCATGTGACCTCCCTGCCTGCCTCTCCTCCACTCCACAGGGGCGCAGAGCAGGGGTATCCCCCGCCCGGCCAGGACGGGGCCCCCTGCACCTCAGGACTCACCGAGGGAGCGGCCCAGATGGCGCAGGATGGCATTGGACTGGTACAGGGTCAGGTCTCCGTCCTGGAACTTGGGGAGCTGCCCGTACAGCTGGGGGTGGCACAGCTCTGTCAGAGGGGCTCCGCTGGCCTGCCCCCCCACACCCTACTTTCACCCCCAAGGCCCAGCCCCTGACCCCGCAGGCACAGCACTCACACAGGAGGCCTTGAGGGTGCCCTGCAGCCAGGTCTCCTTGGTCACCACCTCCTCCTTCCAGCTCTGGCCCTGGTCAGCCAGCAGCATGCGCGTGGCCTCGCAGCGCCCTGGGGCGGGGAGACAGGTCGTGGGCTGCAGAGACGCAGAGACCCCAACCTCGCAGTGCCGCGGGGAGGGGCCTGCTCCCTGGGGAGGGGACAGGCCACAGGCGGTCCGATACTCCAACGAGGGAGCTCAGGGACACGGACAAGGAGGCCGGGGCTAGCAGCCCCTGAAGAAGGACAAGCGGGGTTTGGGGGGGCAGGTGGGTGAGAGGCCACAGGCTGCCGCCCCAACCTCCACCCCCCTCCCCCCAGCCACAGGCCCCTACCTCGAACAGGGAAGTAGACGATGGTGTAGGGCGCCACTGGAGGGGACAGAGAAGTTTGTTAGCGTCCTCGAGGGGGTCCTCCCCGGAGACCCACCCCTGGCTCTGGGCGCTCCGGGCCTCCCAGGGGCCGGTCTCTGCGCCGGGGAGGCCGGGCCCCTGAGAACCCCAACCCCGCGCTGGTGCCCTGGCTCCCCATCGCGGCGGGGAGCGGGGCAGGGCTTTGCAGGGGGGTCCCGGCCGGGAGCGGGGCGCGCTGCAAGCCTCGGGAGCCCCGCCCGCCCCGAGCCCCGCGGGGACTCACTGGCGACTGTGCGAAGCGGCGGCGGCGGCGGCAATGCTCCGGGTCCGCGGCCGGGAGCCTCCCGGGGGTGGCCCCGCCCCGGCCCGGCCCGGCCCCCGCCTGAGTCACGCGCCCGCGCCCGCCCCGCCCCGCGCTCCCCGCAGCGAGCTCCGCCCAGCCCCCCTGGGCCGGTGGAGGGCTGGCCGCCTGGAGCTGGTGAGACCGGGGTCAGGGTTTCCCGAACCTTCTCCAGGCCTTGGCCTTGCCCTGGCCGCCTCCGTCTCCGCTTGGGGCGCAGACTGAAGGGACAGAAACTCGTGCATTTGTTCCCGCAGACAAAAGAGGCCGCACAGAGGACAGAGCCACGGGCCCTGCACACAGACCGGCGTGCGCGCTCCAGGCTGGGTTTCTCACCCCTACCAGCCTTCGGAGGCCACCCTTCCCCCTAGATCACCTCACTTTGAAGCACAGTGGTCCCTCCTTTGGGAAAACTGCTGTTTGAACTACTCTGTTATTCTTAGTCTCTTATTCCCTGGGTCAACTCTGTTATTTTTAGACTGTAAAATAGCCTTGCTTTTTAGCTTGAATAATAGAAAAGAGAAACTTAATTGCCTGACCTTGCAAGCTAGCCATCCCAAGGGGCTGATACACTGTTGCTAATATTAATTCACATATTTTGCCAAGTGTTTGTTCAGCCAGGGTTGCAGGTGTTTGATTAGATATAATGTGTATTCAAAGTTACAAGTTGTGTAGGTATGACAGGTGTTTGGTTAAATACGACATGTATTCAAGGTTACAAGCTGTCTTACACAAAGAACTAGAACAGTGGTTCTCAACTTTGGCTGCACATTAGGATCACCTGGGAATCTTTTGAAAATCCTGATTTCTGGGCCTCATCCTCCGGAAATTCTGTTTCTTTGTTATGGGGTGGGGCCACAACATTAGTAACAAAGAAACAGAATCTCCGGAGGATGAGGCCCAGAAATCAGGATTTTCAAAAGATTCCCAGGTGATTCTAATGTGCAGCCAAGGTTGAGAACCACTGAACGAGAAGGTTATAAAAAGAAAATATTCCCTCCTGTGTTTGTTCAGAATTTGACAGAGGTAATCTGCTCTGAACCTGCGCGCAATAAAGATGACGCCTAACTAATTGGCTCATTAGACGTCTTGTCAAGCTCGCTGACTTTGCAATACAACAACTTAACTCAGATAGCCTGTTGGAAATGGACCCTGTTTCATCCCTAAGTGGAAACAGGCTCCGCTGGTTAAAAGTAGCGGTCACTGGCCCAGCTGGTGTGGCTCAGTGGTTGAGCGTCAACCTTTGAACAAGGAGGTCATGGTTTGATTCCTGGTCAGGGCATATGCCTGGGTTTGGGGCTCAGTCCCCAGTACGGCCGTGCAGGAAGCAGCCGATCAATGATTCTTTCTCATCATTGATGTTTCTATCTCTCTCTCCCTCTCCCTTCCTCTCTGAAATCAATTTAAAACTATATTTTTTAAAAATTTTAGAGGCCACTGTAAGAATAGTCACAAGGAGAACAGTGTGGTTTGTAAACCGATCCGGATAACGGGACACTGAACCCTCCCTTTCCGCAGTAACAGTAGGGCGTTTAGGTGTTTCTGGCACCAAACCCAGCTGTGCCCCTCGATGTCATCGCAATGGAGGACAATTGCAGAGGGTTCCGGGATGTTTAACTCAGTCTGTCTGCCTGGGAACCCCTTGCCAGAAGTTCACACTCCACTCGGGGACCCTCTGGTGGCAGCGTTTCATACAGACCCTTCCCACAGAGCTGGCAAGGGGTGCTGAGCTGCAGCCAAAGCCTCAGGTGGGCTGGTAGGCAGGGGGTCCCCAGGAGGCAGAAAGGAAACCCAGTCAGGAGCTTAACAGAGAGATGGGTCAAGTCAGAACCAGATTCCTGCCTCAGGGCCAGTGCTCTCTCTTCATCTTTGACACTCCTTCCTGCCCAGAGCAGTAATTCTTCGGGAGCCATAAGAAGCTTGAAAACACCATCAATATGATATACAAGGTAACTTTATATGTGGACAATGAAACGATCATTTCCTTACAGTGCCTAGGCAGGTAGAAGCCGGGGTGGCACCCTCCGGACTGGCCCAGCCAGAGGCAAGGGTAGGCGCTGTTCTGGGGCAGACAGTCCTGGCTCGCTGAGGGCTGGGCCAGTCGCCATCAGCACAGGCCCTGGGCCTTACGACATGCTCCAGGGTGCCGCCCAGGGCCTGGGCTTAGGGTCTCTGCTCCTCCCCACCCCTGGCGGTCCTCTTCCCTCGGGTCCTGCCAGCACCCTCCTTATCCCTTCACATGCAAAACCCTTTTCTTATTTTTTTCCAAGAAAGAGCCTAATTTGCTTGTTTTACCTATGCTAAAAGCAATCTGAAATTTGCCTTTGCCAGTCCTGCCTGGCTGGTATTTAATGAGCTACAAAAGAACAAAGAGAAAAGCAAAGAAACCGTTGCAGTTTTATCTCTGAAACAGTGCAAACAGTTCCCTTGTCTGCTACATTCTCGAACTCCATAGCTCTGTCAGAAACTCCCCATCTCCAACAACACACTCACACCCACACTCACACAACTCTCTCTCTCTCCCCGTACGCACGCACACACACACACACACACACACACACACACGGACTAGAATCTTGCAGACAACACAGAGGTTTCCTCCTCTGGGCTCTTCAGGGCCTGACAGGGACAGAAAGACCTCAGGGTCTGCCTGTGTGGGTAGGGGACTGGGTCTGGGCTGTTAAAGTGGGCGTGGCCATGGCTGATGCTTCTCCCCACCCTCATCCCACTGCCCCAGCCCCAGGTCTCTGTCCCCTTCCCACCTCTCCAGCCCAACTCAGCATCCCTGGTTGCCCTGGGCTGTGCAGAAGGCTTTGTTTACCCTCACCTCCATCCCTGTGCCCTGTGGACCATAGAGGTCTCCGGGATTGTTTTAACTTGTCTAGTCTCTCTCTCCTACCATAGCAGGGTCACAGGGTGGTCTTGGGCTGTTCCTTCATGCTGGACCACAGCATGTGTATGTGTGTATGTGTGTGTGTGCACGTGCGAGCACGCGTGTGCGTGTGTGCGCGTGTGTGTTCCTCAGTTCCTGGTGCAGCATTACTGCCAGCCTGTGCTGGGTCTCCCCTGCCTTGTATGCATGCATGTACACGGTGGGGCAAAAGTAAGTTCACAGTTGTGAGGACGTGAAACAATTTATTCTTGTGTTATGTATGAGTTCTTGGGTCATGAACAACTGTAAACCTACTTTTGCCCCCCTCTGCATGTCTGTGTGCCCTTTATCCCCACATCCTAGTCCCCCTCCCTGGGTGAGACTGCTGTTCGCATGCTCCCAGGTGTGCGAACACTGGATTTGCATCAGCAGAGCCAGCTTGGCCTCCCAGACGCTGCCCTGGTTGGTGGACCACATGCCCCGCTGTTGGCTGCAGCCCCACGCGCCCTCCACGCAGCAGGAGCGGCCTGGGAATGTGCCCCAGGCCGGTGGGTGGGAAGGGTCGGGCCTTTGTTGTCAGCTGCTCGTCCTCATTACTGAGGATTTCCATCATCTCTTCGTGGGCTCCTTGGGTTTCGTTTTCCTCTTCTGCGAATCGCCCCTTTGTATCCTGGCCATGTTCTATTTGCTGCCTACTCTGCTGGTTTGCTGGAGCCCATTTATTCTAGGTCTTGATGTCTTGGCTTTAGACATCACACATGCCTTCTCCTATTCTGCCCACTCTCTCAGCGCTGTCCAAGGTGTCTTTCGTTGAACAGACTTCCTTCATTTCAGGGTAATCAAGTTCATCAGGTTTTTTTTTGGGGGGGGGGGGAGGGTGCTTATGTTTTGTGCTTCTGAAATTTTGCTTAATGGGTGCTCTCCCTCCTATACCTCTCCCTCCCGCCTCTCCTTCCCCCTGGGCTCGCATTGCCTTGGCCTTTCTCTCTCCTAAGCTCCAAAGGCCCTTCTTTTGCTTCTGTAACTTGTTTCCTGAACCCACCCAGCCCATCTGGCTCACTTCTACTACCTCGGCAACTAACTTTCTCTTATAATTGGGGGGGTGGGGGGGGTGGGAGGGGAGTCTTTTATTACTGCCCTGGATCACAGCATATTCTCCTATGGGTCTTCTATTAACTCTGTTGAGTTACTTTCTCATTAATGAATCCATCTACAGGCCGCCTTGCCTGTGCTGTTCCGTGGGAATCCCCCCATCCCCCCTACACCCCCCATCATCCACTGGATCACCAGATTTATCATAAGTTAGACCCCTGTAGATACTGGGTATGCCTGCCAGTTCTCTTTCTCTGCCATTGTCTATGTGTCTGTCCCTGAGCCAGTGCCACATGCTGTTATTATTATTACCATGATCTTATAATCTGGTAAGGAAAAGACACAGCTTTCTCCTCCCCTCCCCCCCTTCTTTGACTAAGACTGCATTGCATTAACAGGTGAATTTGAAGAGAACTCACATCTTTATAACTTTGTCATCCTACCCTTCATTAGGATCAATGCCCCTATTCAGAGTCTCCTCTATTGTAAGGCGCGGCTCTAGGGTTAAGCCTCGGACTGGCCTGTTGGCAAAGCCACAAACAAGTCCCAGCTTAGAGAGCCCAGTCCTCTTAGCATAATTAGGCTTGACCTTATGACGCTCCCTAGATCCCTTCCTAAGTAGCTAATGGGCTGTGGGAGGTGCAGCAAGTGCTGCCAAAACAAGTGAAACCCATAAGAACACTGTAACTATGGTGACCACTACCTTGTTTACCCCTGGCTATAAAGTAAAGGCTCAGCTTGCCTCTGGATCTCTCTGTGGCCTCAGCCAGGCACAGGAAGATCCACTAGACTCAGCTTATTCTCTTTGTCTGTCATTTCTTCATCCTCCACCGCCCTCACTCAGGCATGCGGAACCCTTGGCTGAGCTGGCTCGGCACACTCTATATCCTTTATTAAAGTTTTCTACCAAGAGGTTTTGCATATTCTTATATAATCTAGGTACATTGTATCTAGCTGCTGTGAATAATATGTTATTTTTTTAAAGTTGGGCATTAGTACCTGTGTAGAGAAATACTAGGAATACATGGGTTTTGTGGGTTTATACCAGTGATGGTGAGCCTTTTGAGCTTGGCGTGTCAGCATTTTGAAAAACCCTAACATAACTCTGGAGCCGTGTCACATATAGAAATTTTTTGATATTTGCAACCGTAGTAAAACAAAGACTTACATTTTTGATATTTATTTTATATATTTAAATGCCATTTAACAAAGAAAAATCAACCAAAAAAATGAGTGTCACAGGTTCGCCATCACTGTTTATATCCAGCAATGGTGCTGAAATCTCATGGATTCCAATAGCGCGTTGGTTTGATCCCAGCGGTCCTTTTAGGTGAATGACCACACCACCTGCAGGAATGAGAATTTTATCTCCTCCCTTCCAACCCTCACATCTTTTTTTTCTTTTCTTTTCTTTTCTTTTCTTTTTTTATCACACTGACCAGGACCTCCAGAATTATATTAAATGGTAGTAGCTGACCTTAAAGGGACATTGTGGGCATGAGTGAAGAAACGGGGTACTCACACCCCACCTTCCATGGCTCGGGCTGCTGGGACCTGGGTGAGGGTGTCTGGGCTGGAGACCCAGGGGCACTGTGTGTGACATTTGGTGTAGATTTTTGGCATCAAGTTCAACATGTTCCCTTCTGTTCCTAGTTTAGTAAGAGTTTGTATCGGAAATCAGTAACCATCTTACCAAAGGCTTTTCTGCCCGCGGATGTAATCCCTGCAGCTTCTCCTTTGTTCTCAGTGGCGTGGAGAGTGACTTCGCTACCCTTTCCCATGCGGTTCTGGGACAAGCCCTACTCGGCCACGATGTCTTTCTTCTGATACAATGTTGTGTGTTTTGTTTGGGGCTTTCACACGTGTTCACAAATGAAATGGGCCTGTCATTTTTTAAATTTACTTTATTGTTTTGTCCTTATCTGGTTTTTGGAATCAAAATTTCACTAACCTCATACCATTTGGGGGGGAATCCTCCCCTTTGTCTATTGTGACTTGCGGTATCATTGGTTTTACCTTCACCAAGACTGGCTGCATGGCAAGGCCCAGCCACCCCCTCACGATGCCCAGCTTCTGCCTGACATCCTGGCGCCAGTGGGTGACTCCAGTCCAGTGTGGGAGCTGCTGAGGTCCTGGGACGCGGCCCAGGGTGCTGGGTGCCCTGTGAGGGCCCTCCCACCTCAGAGCCCATCCCTCCCACCCTCCTCGTTACCTGTGCTCCGTCAAAGGAGCCCTCTGTCCCCGGGAGAGGCGGAGGCACATCCCAGAGCTGGGTCAGTCGCTCTGCAGCCACAGAGCTCGCCCTGTAACCTGCAGCGTCCTGAACGGCCATCCACTCTGGCGCTTCTCTCACATCGAGTTTCCCCCTGGGCCATCGGGGCCAGCAGCCTGCGTTCAAGTCCAGCTCCCGGCACTCTCAGGAGCCTCCTTGTCCTCACTTTCTGTGAGGATTAAGCCAGATGACCCTTGACACCTAGTGAGTGCTCAGTAAATGCCATCCTCTATCCTTTCGTGCTCTGCCTGCCTGGTCCCTGGAGTTTGGAGGACACTGAGCCTTCCCCGCCCCCACCCCCATCCCCACCCCAGGCTGAGCCACCTTCGAAGAGGGAAGGTGGTCTGAGGCCCCTGGGCTGGCTTCAGACCCACACCTCTGGTCCTCCCGTCTCCCCGGGGTATTCCCAGATGCCTTTCCTGCTCCCCTGAGGCTGGCCCCAGAGTGTCGCCACTCCTACCAGGGGGTGCTGAGCTCCATCCAGGCGGGGAGCAGAAGCTGGGGGCAGGACTTCGCCAGGTGAGTTTCTGCCCCTCCCGCTGGGGACACACACCCTCGGACCCCCAGGCAGGCACCTGGCGGGCATGGGTCCTGGGCAGGCACAAGTCCTGGGCAGTGAGGAGCTTGTCTCCAGGCTGCCCCCAGCCAGACACCAAGGTTCTGGCACCCTCCTGAGGCCAAACCAGGGAGTGCAGCGGCCAGGGCAGGACCAGAGAATGCCACCAGGAGCAGCAGGGCACACGCTCCTTCAGCAGATCTTTCTGGAGCACCTACCTAGAGCCAGGCGCTGCCCGAGGCTCTGAGAATGAGACGGAGCCCCTGGGCCGTGGAGCTGGCTTTGGCTACCTCCCCGTGTACTGAAAGGCTGTTGGAAAACGTCCTCAGAAGCACGCCTGCCAGCCACTCCCTCCTCAGCGTCAGGAAAACCCAGGACACTGTCACTAGCCCCTGCTGGCTTAGGCTGGCCTCCCCAGAAGGCAGAGCCTGTGAGGGCTTATTCTGGGGAGAGGTCCCCGGAGCAGAAGGAGGGACGGGGAGAGTGGGGCAGCAGGAGGATGAGCCCTCGTGCCCAGGCCAGAGAGTCCGATCTGAGTCAGTAAATCCGCTCTGTCTCACTGGGGTTTCTGTGGCTGGCGGTCAAAATGGTCCCGGCAAATGCAAATGGGAGGGAGAGGATTCGGAGGGCGCCCTGCCCCCTGCGGTGTGGGGGGCACCTGTGGCCCCATGGATGCAGCGGAGTGTGGGACCACAGTGCTGCTACAGCTGCAGCCTGTCACAGCCAGAGCAGGTCTAGGCAGAGGCCACCAGGCGCGTCCCAGGGGCCAGGACAGGAAACCGAACTGGAAAGAAGCGGTTAGAGAGCAGCCAGTGTACCTACCACCCCCCGCCCCCCCCAACACTCACTCACACACACACACACACACACACACACACACGTCCCTTAAATAACTGCTTAAATCTGCCTCGACCCCGCCCCACGGAGGACGCGAAGGTAGAGAAAAGCATTCGGTAACACTGGCCTCTCTTCGCTGAGTACTTTTGCGAGGCATGTTCACTAGAAATCATTGCCAATCGAAAGCCAGACATTCCAAAGCCAGGGCAGCGGGGGTCACGGCGTGTGTTGGCAACAAGTGACTTATTTTATCATGTACGTTGTAGACCCAGCATAAGCCTCCCGGACAGGAGTGCTCCCCTGGCTGGAACCCGGAGGAGGCAGGGACCACACCCTTAGGGTGACAGGTGGCTGCACGGAGCCTGGGCCCCCAACACCCCAGAGTGGACACCAGCCCCGCTCACGTGTCGGGCTTTTACCTGAGCGAGAAACCCTTCTAGCTCGCTTCCGTTTCCGCTGCTGCTACTTGGACACTTTGTAACCGCGGCTGACCTGACACCTAATTAATACACAACCTGGAGGAAGAATGCGACGACAGAGAAGCAGGAAGTGGTTAGAAGGATTTTCTTTTTCAGCCTCGGAGAGTGAATGCTTCCGTAAACAACCTTTTTAAAATAAAATTTTTAAAAAGCAACTTCTGTGCAGCCAAACCAAATACCTGTGGAGCAAATATTTAAAGACTTGGTTGGAAGGGGAAGCAAATGACACGCTGAGCCCACCTGTGGCCACATCTCACGGCCCAACCCTCGACATTAATAAGAGAGTTTCCTGCCTTAAGGTATTTTGTGCCAATGTTTTACAGCCATTAGGCCCATGAAAAGGCACTCCGCGTCCTCAGTCACCGGGGAAATGCAAGTGAAACCACAGCCCACATGGGAAGGCCTGCGGCATTGACAATTGCACGTGTTAACAAGGACGTGGATCAACTGCGTTGCTGGTGGGAGTGCTGAAATGGTCCGGCCACTTTAGAAACCTGTCTGCATTATTAGCTACGAAAGCTCCAGTCCTAGCTGACGGTTAATTTGATGTGTCACCTTGGGTGGCCACGGTATCCAGAGAGGAAGGGAGCGGGAGAGAGAGAGAAACATTGATCGGTTGCCTCCTGTATGTACCCCAACAACCGGGGACCAACCCACAACCTGGGCAAGTGCCCTGACTGGGAATCAAACCGGTGACCTTTTGGTGCACAGGACGACGCTCCACCAACTGAGCCACACTGGCCAGGGCTGTGAAGGTACTTTTTAGTGACACTAGCGTTTCCATCTGTGGACCGTGAGGAGCGCAGGTTACTCTGCATACGGGTGGGGGAGCGCGAGGAGCTGTGCTGGAAAACTCATTATGGGAACGTGGGATAGCTGCTCAGCCACACGGGGTCCACAGTCAGAAATCAAGGTCATTAAAGGAAAGACTCCTTCCCTAACTGGTTTGGCTCAATGGATAGAGCATTGGCCTGAGGACTGAAAGGTCCCAGGTTCAATTCCGGTCAAGGGCATGTACCTTGGTTGCGGGCACATCCCCGGTGGGAGGTGTGCAGGAGGCAGCTGATCAGTGATTCTCTCTCATCATGGATGTTTCCATCTCTCTCTCACTCCCTTCCTCTCTGAAGTCAATAAAGAAGCAAAAATTTTAAAATACTAGCATCTATTATCTCAGTTTCTGAGTCAGAACTTTGGGAGGGGTTTGGCTGGTGGTTGCACAGGGTTTCGGTTTTATTAACATTAGGTGTGGCAAGGCCAACAGGTCCGGGCGGGGCGGTCCCTCCAGGGTCAGCAAAGCCCCAGAGGTTAAAGCAGCCTCTTGAGCAGAAAAGAAAGCCGCATCGCAGTGCTGCTCCTGGCGTCTGGCCAGATGCTGCTGTCTGTCGGGGACAAGTCGGGCAGGACTCTGATGACCCAGCTGTGCTCACGGGCTCGCCCCTGGGACCAGGCGCTGGGTGAGTGGCCCGGCTGGGTCACATGTCTCTGGAGGACAGGGCCTTCCCAGCAGGACACGACGGGGTCTGTGGGGTCTGGAGCTGAGTGGCCATCCCGGATCACAGCCCTGCCTTGGCTGGGTTTATGAGCCAAAGTCGAAGTGGCCCTATTTTTGGAACAACAGGAAAAAAACAACTGCTTCAGACTCTCACAATGGAAACTTTCCACAGGTGTGGCCTAATCAGGGGGTCTCATGGAAGACTGAAGTGTACTGAGCCTGGGCGCCGCTCAAGAACAAGGCTCAGGAAAGTAAGTTGTAGGGGCTGCCAACAAAAGTCGCGCCTGCAGGACGCCCGCTGCACGCTGTCCTCCGGAGCCGGCCCAGCTGCAGGCGCACCCGCTGCCCCTCGCCCCGGCCAGAGTCTTCCGGCGGCAAGGTTTGGAGCTCAAGTTTCCTTGTCAGAAACACTCCCAGACAAACACTCGGCAGTTCCTGGGGGTTGCTGTCCCCCAGGTTCGGTGAGAGGAGCCTCAATGGTGCATGCCCACCCCAACCTCGTCCCCCGCGTCTGCAGAGCTGGTGGAAGTAGGCCAGGGGTTGGACGTGACCTCTGTTCTCATTCGAGTTGATTACCATCAGGATATTTAACATGTAACTAACATTTGCGTGTTCAACGAGCACTTCCTTTGTCCAGAGCACAGCTGAGAGCATTTTCTGGGGCTGTTTGGGAAAGAAACAAGGCTTGGCAGTCAGTCAGGCTGGGTACAAATTCCAGCAAGAAAAAAGTTTTCTCTTTTTTTATTTTAGGATTTTTTTTTTTTTTTTATTGCTTAAAGTAATACAAAGGGTATTACATATGTGTCCATTCCCCCTCCCCCCCGCCCCCCCCAGACAGTCAGGGAGAGGAAGGGAAAGTGAGAGGGAGATAGAAACATCAATAATGAGAGGGACTCATTGATCGACTGCCTCCTACCCGCATCCTACTGGGGATCGAGCCCTCACCAGCAGCGGCTATCCCTGTCCTTTCCACTCTAGCTCTCCTAGGAAGTGCAAAGTGCCATCCCAGCCTGGCGCCGTGTATAGTGCTGAGCGGGCACCAAACCTGGGTTTGGCTTGGGGAGAACCAAGTGGAGAAGGAGCCATCATCAATGTCATCAGAGGAATCACAGCTCGGGGTGGGGGCGGGGGCGGAGATAGATAGCAACACAAGTCTTCACTCACATACCGGTTACCATGTATCAGGCAATGTGTGGCTTAGACATCATGGGAGACACCGAAATAGGTAAGATCTGCCTCATGGTGCCTTTGTGAATATTAAATGATAAAGAATCTTGCAGGTTCCTGATAGAGTCCTAATGGACTCTTTTAATAAAGAGTAGAAGACCTTCACCGGGAGCTCATCTGCCTTTATGTCCATCTATACATCCATCTATCCAATAGTCCATCCATCCAACAACCAAACATTTGACCAGCAAGCCATCAAAACATCCACCCATCCATTTATCCACCCATTCATCCAACTACCCACCCAATAAAACCATCTATCCATTCACCTTTTTACCTACTCACCTATCCATCCATCCTACCATCTACCAACCATTCAAACACCAATCTATCAAATCATCCACCCATCCACCCAACCACCCAACATCCACCCAATCATCCCGCCATCCACCTGTACGTCAACCACTGATCCACCTGGACGCCCTGGACACTGGAGCTGGGACCTCAGCTTGGCTAAGTCAGGTTGGGCCAGTCAAGGGCACCCATGTGAGTGCCTTAAGATGCTGTTCATTGGACACGAGCCAGGAAGGACTTCCAAGCCAGGCTTTCTTCACCTAGAAAGGCTTTGCCCCTCGATGGAGAGTGCTCCTACCCACTACACCAGGGGTGGGCAACCTTTTTGACTCGAGGGCCACAATGGGTTCTTAAACTGGACGGGAGGGCCGGAACAAAAGCATGGATGGAGTGTTTGTGTGAACTAATATAAATTCAAAGTAAACATCATTACATAAAAGGGTACGGTCTTTTTTTTTTTTTTTTTTTAGTTTTATTCATTTCAAACGGGCCGGATCCGGCCCGCAGGCCGTAGTTTGCCCACGGCTGCTCTACACCCTGACGAGTGATAGCCCCCCTGCTTTGGCTTCTATTTGGAACGCCCCTTTCTCACCACTTCTCACCTCTTAGGTGGTTATTCGGACATGAAGTCATTTATCACATGTAACATCCGTTATATTTTGAGCCCTGCCTGTGTATCAGGAACCGGCAAGATCCTTTACCATTTAATATTCACAAAGGCGCCGTGAGGCCGATACTAGGTCAACCCCCGTTGTCCGGAGAAGGAAACTGAGGCTCAGGGAGGTGAGAAACCTTGCATGGGTCCCGCAGCGAGTGCGTGGGGGAAGGTGTGACCCAGGGCGCACACCTGCGGCCTGGGAGGCGGTGCTGCCTGGCCTCTGGGAAGAGGTGGCCCAGGTGCAGAGGTGCTGAAGGCTGCTGAAGGCTGAGCCTCCAAATGATCCACACGAAGGGACACACGAGCCCTTCCCGCCCTTGACCACCTGGCCCGCGCCCACTCGCCTCTCAACCCTGGCCTTTTCTCAGACCCTTGGACCCGCTCAGAGCTGTGTGGCAACTGTCCTCTGCCTTTGGGCCCCTGCCCCTTCACTCGGCCACTCCCACATGGTGTCACTTCCACAGGCCCTGTCACAGCCAGGTCCCCACTCCCCTCCTCAGCATCCTGCTGGGTCCTTCACTGCACAGACCCCTCCACAGTTTGCTGAACGCGCATCTCCCGCCCCGTGGAAGGTTCCGGGAGGCGGGGACTGGGTCCCAGCTCCAGGGAGGCATGCGCAGGTGCTCCAAGAACATTTGCTAAAGATTCAGCCCCTCAGATGGTCCCCAACCCCGTGCCCCCCATGCCCTCTCCAGGGGCTACTGCCCCCTCCTCCCTGAGGGCCTCCACCCGACTCATCCTGCCGATTCCAGCACCCGGCGGAGCTCGCCAAGCTCACAGCCGACCCCAAGCCCAGGCTAAACGTGTGAGCAACGCCACGAATGGCGCCCCATGCCCTCCTCTCCTCCGCGAAGCCCCCCCAGGCACTTGGAGACTTGGCCTGTGGGCCCCTTTCTGCGTGAGATGTGTCTGCGAGCAGGGCCCCAGCAGCCAGCCCGGGTCTGGGTCTCAGCCGGCCTCGGTGCTTGCGGAGGATACATGAATGGACATGAATGGACGGCACGCGTGGCCGAGAGCGGCCAGGCCAGCAGCTCAGGTGGCAGGCCTCTGGCAGGATCTGGTTCCCTCGGACAAAAGCCGGGGGGAGGGGAGCAGGTGAATAAATCATGAGGGGCCCGGAGCAGGGCCGACAGGACAGCTGACCTCATTCCGGGAGGCGAGGAGCAGGCGCTGGGTGGTAAGTGGTCTGGGGACACAAGGGCACGAGAGGCAGGGAGGCTGCTGGTCACCCCCGTCCTGTTCCTGTTCGCTGAGAAGCAGGAGGGTGGTCAGCAGAGGCTCAGCGGGAGGTGCCGTGAGGAGGGGAGGGGGTGTGGAGGGAGGCTGGGGGACCTGTCTTTCCACAATCCAGGAGCCTTGCTGGGAGGGGTGGGGAGAGTAGGAGAACCAGGATGGACAGACAGAAAGACCACTGTGAGAGGGGCCCCACGCAACAGACGGAGGGAGGACGGAGAGATGGTCCGAGAGCCACAGACCCGCTGGGCAAACGCCAGCAGGGCAGGGCTGGAGAGAGGGACTGCGGGAGAGACAGACAGAGACCACCATGAGCAGAGGGCAGACAGGGGTGTGGGTGCAGGAGGTCCGGAAGCCGGAGCCCAGGGCCAGGTGCCGGGTCTGCACAAGCCTGCGGGCCCAGGTGCGGGGGGGTGGGGGGGGCAGCAGGAGGCTGGAGGAGGGAAGGGAAGGCTAGGATTGGAGCGAGGCGCTGTTTGAGAGGCCTGGGGAGCTAGGAGAGATGGGATATGGGACTTGGGGCAGCCCAGGCACAGAGATGCCTGCTGGTTGGCCCCCAGTGCATGGAGGGAGGGGCAGGGAGGAGAGAAGCAGGGGCCCACCGCTGCCACTAAGCCCCCTCCCGCAGGACCGGGGAGACCGGAGTGGGGCGGTGCCCCTCGGCCAGCAAGAGGGGCCAAGCCCTCGTCTCCATGGCCCTTCCTCAGGGCCCAGAGGGTGACAGCCTCCCCCCGGGGGACCCCAAGGCCTCTGAGGACACTGCGGGGCCCAGCCAGGCCCCTGCCAGCCCCGCAGTCACCAGGCGGCGGCTCCTGCTGCGGGAGCTGGAGGCCCAGGTGCAGGCGGCCTATGGGCAGGTAAAGTGTGCAGGGCTGTGGCTTATCCCCAGTGAGGGGACCATGAGCGAACAGAGGGGACCCCCCTCCCCAGCTGGGGCCCTGCAGGACAGACCCAGGCTGCGCCCCGCGGGAGGAAGCCCTGAAATGCGTGCTGACCCAGGAGCCCCTCCGGCCCCGTCCTCCCTTGAGCCCTTCCGCAGGCCCTGGCCCCAGAGCCGGCTGGTCAGCCCCTCATCCAGCGGCGAGGCCAGGGGGCCGGCCAGCAGTGCCGAGGGCGGGAGGGCAGGCAGGTGCTCCGAGGTGAGAGCCGGGGCCTGGCAGGAGGAGGCAGGGGCTTCCCAGGCCTCCTTTCAGGACAGGCAGTGAGCGGAGGGTCTGCAGAGGTCACACCGCCGGGTTCCCTTCCGACGGGAGGGATGCCCAGGCCGCCCGGCACCACCGCCTGGCGTCCGCCTCCCAGGGGCAGGCCCTGCCTCAAGAAACCCAGTCTGTCCTGATAGGGAGAGATTAGGGGGCGGGGGGAGGAGAGGGACGCCTGCAGGACCCTCAGGAGTGAGCGAGGGGAGGCTGCGCAGCCCAGGGGCCTTGGGGCCCTAGCGGCCCCCCCACCAGCAAAGACACTCAGAGATAATCCCGGATTAGGACCCGAGCCCCTGTGCCCAGGGCTCCCCGCCTGCCCACCCGCCCCCGATCTTCCCCACAAAACCCTTGGAAAATCCCCTGCCGCCTCCCAGACTCACTGGGAGCAGCTGGGGCTGGCGGGAGCCCACGGCCTGCGAGAGGCCCAGCCCAGCGGCCCCAGACACCAGGCCTGGCATGGTTCCTGGGCCCATGGGAAACTGTGCCAAGCGGCCCCGACACTGGGGACCTCAGGTAGGGGGCGAAGGGGGAGCAGCCACGGCCAGGAGCCTGGGCTGGACCCTGGGAGCGTCAGGTGGGTGGGCAGGGCCCTGTCTGAGGTGGGGCAGGGCTTAGAGGGGGGCAGGGGGGGCAGGAGGTTGGGGGGCTGGTCCCCACTGGGCCTACCCCCGTCCCGCCAAGCTCAGCAGGCCCCCAGCTGCCCATCCTGCTGGCCGACCCTGCTCTCAGCTGGGGGACCCAGAGCTTGAGCTCAAGGTCTCGCTCTGCCTCTGGCTCTCTGAGTGGCCTTGGCCAAGTCCTTTGCCCTTCCTGAGCCTCACGTTTGCCCAACTGCACAGTAAGGGGGGCCCCCTCCAGCCTAGGGTGGCAATAGGAGAGGGCCCCTCTCTCCTGTGCCAGGTGCCAACGTCAGGAGAGGCTGGTTGGTAGGGGTGCAGAGGAGCCACTGCCCCAGCTCATGGCCGGCTCTGCTGCAGGGCAGTTGGCTGTGGCCTGGCTCCCGCCCAGGGGGCTCCCCCCACAGCCCCAAGGAGCCTGGGGGCCCCAGACGGGGCGTCCAGGGCTACTCGGTGCTCAGCAGCCTAGTGGGGCCTGCCTGCATCTTCCTGCGGCCCAGCATCGCTGCCACCCAGCTTGTATGTACAGCCCACCCCCGCCCCCTACGCCCGCCCAACTGCCACTGCCCTCGTTCCCTCGCTGTGCCTCTCCCTGTGTCGGGGGAGAGTGGATTGAGGGGGGAGGTCGGAGCAAAGGCACACAGATGGGAGAGGGAGCAGAGAGAGACCCAGAAAAATGTCAGAGACAGCCACCCAGGGGATGGGCAGGGAGGTGGCAGGGTCTCTAGGAGACAAAGGGTGACATTGAGGCCACCAAGCTTGGGATCTGCCCAAACCAAACCCACCTCTGGCCAATGGGCTCCGTGCCCTAGAAGAGGGTGGCAGGGGGTGGGGAGGCCCTGGGAGAGGCCTGGCGGGGTCAGAGGAGGGGAACCGGAGACCCCAGGCCCATCAGGAATGGGAAGGAACGAGGCCTGAGCAGGGTCAGACACAGGCCTTGTGCAGGGGTGTGTGGGGCTGATTGGAGAGCCCCAAAGAACAAGAAACAAGGGGTCCAGGGACTTTCTAACCCCTCTGTGCCCCTCAGGACCGGGAGCTGCGGCCAGAGGAGATTGAAGGTAAAGGGTTTGGAAAGAACTAGAATTTCTGGAGGGGTGGACGTGGGGGGTGCACACCGGGGGGGGGGGCGGGGGGAGGGGGGTGCTCAGCAGTCTCCAGGAGGAACTCGAGCCAGAAGGAGGCTGCAGGGGCCCTGTGCGAGGAGACGGGACAGACTGAGCAGGGATGGGCCGACAAAAGCCCCAGCTGCCAGCTGCCTGGTCTCACTGGCCAGGTGGGTCTTGGGTCCCTTTTGTATTTGTTCAGCGAGCACTTCCTAGGCACCACCTGGCCCTGTGCTGAGCACTGGGAACATGGCCAACCAGACAGACCAGCCTGTGCCCTCTGGAGACAGACGTCAGTACGTCAGCAAGTGCAGATGGCGCTCAGTGCTCTCAACTACGAGTGCAAATGGGCTGCAGGCTCTGACTTTAGAGGGAAGACTTCCTTGAGTACATGACAGGAGGACCAAGAGGAGGGGAGAGTGTTCCAGAATGTGAGCTAAGCCACCACTCACGAAGGACGCAAGGGAGAACCGCCCCTCCTCACCTCTGACCATGACTCGCTTCTCCCTTCCGGCTCCCTTCTGGCCCTTCCTTTATCCCTTCTGCCCTACTGCTTCCGTCCTCCTCCTTCCGCCTTCCTTCCTTCTTCCTTCCTTCCTTTCTTCTTCCTTCTTTCCTCCCGCCTTCCGCCCTCCCTCCCTCCCCCGTCCTTCCTCCTTTCCCCTTCCTTCCTCCTTCTGCCCTTCCTTCCTTTCTCCTTCTGCCCTCCCTCCTCCCTCCCTCCCTCCCTCCCTCCCTTCCTTCCTTCCTTCCTTTCCTTCCTTCCTTCCTTCCTCCCTTCCTTCCTCCCTTCTGCCCTTCCTTCCTTTCTCCCTTCTGCCCTCCCTCCCTCCCCTCTTTCCTTCCTTCCTTCCTTCCTTCTTTTCTCCCTCCCTTCCTTCCTTTCTCCCTTCCTTCCTCCCTCCCCTCTTTCCTTCCTTCCTTTCTTCCTTTCCTTCCTTTTCCTTCTTCATTGTCATATTCCCACTACCTAGAGCAGAGCTTGGCACATAGCAGATGCTCCTTAAGTATTTGCTGAAAGAATGAATTATAGGAATAGCATGTGCAAAGGCCCTGAGGCAGCAAAGAGATTGATGTTTAGATGGAGGGAATGATTAGACCAAGGAGAGAAGGTGAGTTGATCCGAGCTGGGACCCAGGGGGACATTGGAGAAGGACTGACCCTGCCCTACTTGGCAGAGCTGCAGGCCGCCTTCCAGGAGTTTGACCGAGACCGGGACGGCTACATTGGCTATGGGGACCTGGGCGCCTGCATGCGGACGATGGGCTACATGCCCACTGAGATGGAGCTCATCGAGATTTCACAGCAGATCAGTAAGTGCCTCAGACCCACCCATCCCCATTGCTCCCGAGGCCAGGCCAGGGCAGCTGGGCAGCCCAGGCACAGAGATGCCTGCTGGTTGGCCCCAGAGCCCAGACCTCGGCCATTCTCAAGGCAAGGACTCTGCCTCCATCCCTCTATTCCCATTTGTTAGATGAGGACATTGAGTCTCTGAAAGGTTAAGTGACTTGCCGAAGGTCACACAGCCAGGTCATTGGAGCCAGGGCTTGAACCCAACCAAATTCTTCAGGAAAATTAAGGAAAGTCATCAAAACCACAGATGGCCCCGCCTGTGGGGCCCGGAGGGAAAAGGGCACAGTTACCGGGCCCAGGCCAGAAGGGGAGGGCAGGGCAGAGGAGGGCCAGGGCCGGCTGGGATCTCTGATGAGCACGGCCCCCAGGTGGCGGGAAGGTGGACTTTGAAGACTTTGTGGAGCTGATGGGCCCCAAGCTGCTGGCCGAGACGGCAGACATGATTGGCGTCCGGGAGCTGCGGGATGCCTTCAGAGAGGTGTGCCCCAGGGCTGAGGGCGGGCGGGGCCTGCTGTGTGCGGTGAGGGCGGGGCTGGGTGACTGATTCCTCGCCGCCCGCCACAGTTTGACACCAATAGGGATGGCTGCATCAGCTTGGGCGAGCTCCGGGCGGCCCTCAAGGTCCTGCTGGGGGAGCGCCTCACCCAGCGGGAGGTGGACGAGATCCTTCAGGACATTGACCTCAACGGGGACGGCCTGATCGACTTTGAAGGTACCGCCTGCCACCACACACCCTGGGAGGTTTCTAGCACAGAAAGAACAACAGAGGCAGAGCATTTGCTGTGGGCCAGGCCCTGAGCGAAGCCCCCAATCCTCTCCCAGGAGGACCCAGCAGGGAGGAGCTTTATCTTCCCGTGAACCAGAGAAGCCAGAAGTGAGTCTGTCAGTTCTTAGGAAAGTGTCAGTGCTCAGCGACAGGAAGTAGATGAAGCCGTGATCCGAATCCAGGCAGCCCCATCCAGACCCAGCTCCTCCTCGACACAGAGGGAGCACAAGGGTCAGGTCACCACAGAAGCCACGGAAAATCAGGATGCAGCCCCAGAGTTGCTCCTCAGCTTCCGAGCAGCCAAAGCAGAGAGAAAACAGTTGAGTTACAAGATGTTTTCTGTCCACAAGACAAAGCCCCTCTCCTTGGCCTAGAGACAGACCTGTTACCCATCAGATGCAGGAGACTCACTTGACCACACTCCCTCACACCTCAAGGCCCGTATATGGGCCCCGCCCCTAGTGGGGTCCACAGAGCAGACCCGAAACCTCCGCTTTGTCCTGGCAGAGTTTGTGCGAATGATGTCTCGCTGAGCCTGCGCAGAAGCTGGAGGCAGCAGAGAGGACTTGAGACCACAGCCACTGCCCACGAGTGTGTTCCTGGAAGCCCACTGCCTCCAGTTGGGACCCTCTGCCTCTTCCCCCCATCCCCCACCTGTGTGCAATGCCCTTGTCTGCCCTCACCCCACCCCCACTCCCCCACCAAGCCCATCTCTGTTTCTCTGACAATAAAGTACCATCAGACCTGGAGATGGCTTTCGCCTCTCACTTCCTCACCCTGGAGGACCCAGTATTTGGCCCCCAGAGGTCAAGTCCTGGGTCACAAGCCCCCTGGATTGTGAGCTCTGGGTGAGCAGGGGCCCTCAATGGATCCTGGACCTGGCCCCCAGCAAGTGTCCGGAAAGGTTCCTGAACGAGTAAACCAGCCTGCTTCTCTCAGAGCTGGGCCCCTGTGAAGGGCCCCTCATCCTGTGAAGGGCCCCTGTCAGACCCGGGGTTGCTCTACACCAGGGGTCCTCAAACTTTTAAAACAGGGGGCCAGTTCACTGTCCCTCAGACCGCTGGAGGGCCGGACTATGGTTTTAAAAAAAACTATGAACAAATTCCTATGCGCACTGCACATATCTTATTTTGAAGTAAAAAAACAGAACGGGAACAAATACAATATTTGTATTTGCATGTGGCCCGCGGGCCGTAGTTTGAGGACCCCTGCTCTAGAGGGTGGAGCAGATGTGTGAGGGCTTTTCCCAAGATGGATCTCATTCTCTCTGGGAGGGGTGCTGCTCAGGGCCCTTCGAGAGGGAACTTGAGTTCTTCCCAGCTTTACTTCTCGGCCAGGAAGAGACGACGCTGTTGGGCTCTGGCTGTGGGTCCCTTCAGAAGACAGCTCTTTCCGGAGCCCCCAGCCACTGGCCCAGCGTGGCGGGCGCCAGAACACGCAAGTTTCTGCCTGACTCGAGGTTCCTCTCCGGGGCGGTCTCCGCTGCAAGTTCCCCTTACATTCGCTGAGGCATGGCCAGGCTGACCTCACAGCCGAGGCCTCCTGCCACCTTGCTTTCTTGCCTTTCTCTGCCTTGCATTCCTAACTTCATCTCACTGTCTGCTTCCTGGGGGACCCGAATGACACGTCTGCTCACCCCAGCCCTCCCCTCGTCTTCATGCCCCGTTTTCCAGATTGAGGAAACCCAGAGGCCCAGCCTAAGTGACTTGCTAGAGGTCACACAGCACCACTGACATCTCTCCCCCTGGGCCAGGAGTGCACGCTGCCGGGTTATTCTCCCTAAAGTATCTCTTGCATTTTGTGACACTCCTGTTCAGGAACTGGCCAGGATCCCTCATGATCCTCAGATGAACCCACCCCTGTGCCTGGCACCCGAAGCCTCCGGGAGGACAAGGGACTAGCATCGTCCCATACAGTGAGGATGAAGGGGAGGTGGGGCTTGCACTCAGGCCTGGAGACTCTAACATCTCAGTGCCAACAAGAGAGGATGCCTGAGGGTCAGGGTGAACCCAGGACAGGCCTCCAGCTATAGCAAAGGCCTGGTCTGCAGAGCTCGGCTGACCGTCAGCCCTGTACCTGGTCCTCATCGTCACTGCGGCCAGCGCGATGGCCCTGGGGCCGAGCAGGTGGGCAGCCACCGTGCCCTGCCCAGTCCAGAGCCTGCATATCGAGGTGCCAGGCCTGGCTGCAGCAGCTCAACATCACTCTCCTGGAAGATCCCAATTAATCCTTAATCCCCAATTAGGCGATCTCTCCTGCCAGCCAGTCTGGCAGGCCTGCGGGGGGAGGACTTGCCACAGGCCAGTGGCTTTACTGGATGCCATGGCCCGTCCTCCTTCTGACACCCTCCACCAGTTGGCACACACGGCATTGCTTCCTGAGATGTCTGTCCTCTTCGCAGGGGTTGGAGGGTACATGCCAGGGGAAGACTGGAACCCCCCTCAGGGTTAGCCTCCCACCACCGGGTGGCCCTCGAACCAGGAGGCTCTGTGGTTGGTGGTTTGAGCGAGTTGCTGGGATGGATTTAATTATCTGCAGTGTATATGCTGGCACCGGAAATGTCCACAGCCCCACCAGTTCTCACACGGGCCCTCTCACCCCACAAGGCCGCAAGCCCAGAAGGTCTCAACTACTTAAGTCTACTTTAAATAGTGTGAGTGTAACTTGCATTCCGGGAGGCGTATAAATCTGAGGACAGCACAATGAAAGTTTACCTGTGCATGCACCCAGGTAACCATCATTCTATCAGAACTTATTTTACAACAGTTCTCGGTTTACAGAATTATTCTGAGGACAGTCCAGTGAGTTCCCTTATACCCCAAACCCAGCTTCTCCTATGCGTTAGGCCAGGTTCTCCAGAGAAACAGAACCAATAGGAGGTGTGTATGTGTATGTGTATGTGTATGTGTATGTGTATGTGTATGTGTATGTCTATGTGTATGTCTATGTCTATGTGTATGTCTATGTCTATGTCTATGTGTATGTGGAAGATACTTATTATAAGTAATTGGCTCAGGTTATTATGAGGGCTGAGCAGTCCCCAAGCCTGCAGTCAGCACGCTGGAGGCCCAGGACAGCCTGTGGTGCGGTTCCAGCCCACGCCTGGAGGCCTGAGACCCAGGAAGGGTGATGGCATGGGCTCCAGACTGAGGTCCGGAGAACACTGGCGTCCCAGCTCAGCGGGCAGGCAGGTGAAGTTCCCTCTCGCCCTGCCTTTTTGTTCTATGTAGGTCCTCAGCTGATTGGATGAGGCTCACCACACTGGGAAGGGCAACCTGCTTGGCTTAGTCCACTGATTCAACAGGTGTTCATCTCACCCAGATACACCCTCACAGACCCCCCCAGAATCACGGTTGACCACAGGCCTGGGAACCCCAGGATCCTGTCAAGTTGACACATAAAATTAACCACCACACCATTATTCACATTGTACATTAGGAGGGCACATTTGTCACAGCTGATGAACGTATACTGATACATTACTATTGACTGAAGCCCACATTTTATGCATATTTCATCCGTTTTTTCCGGATGGCCCTTTTTCGGTTCCACAGCATCCAGGACCACATTCCATTAGACACCATGTCTCCTTAGGCCCCTCTTGGTTGATGCTTCCTCAGACTTTGTTTTTCACATTTTATGCTCTTGACAGTGTTGAGGAGGACTGGTCAGGTATTTTATGGATTTTATATAATGTCTCTGAACTGAAATTTGTCTGTTTCCTTCATGGTTCATCGTAGTTATGGGTTTGGGGGAGGAAGAGCACAGGGGCAAGGTGCCGCTCTCATCTTTCATACCAACGGTGCGTACTACCAACATGATGTCACTATTGATGTTGACCTTGATCAGCTGGCTAGAGGCAGTGTTTATCAGATTTCTATAGTATAGAATTACTCTTTTTTTCTCTCTTTGCATACTATACTCTTTGGAAGGAAATCACCATCCATAGCCCACGTTTAAGGGCAGAGTATCGACATAAATTATTTGGAATTGGGATTCTTCTGTATGCAAGATAGGTCTCTTCTCCCCCACTTACTAATTTATTTGCTTATTCAGTCAATCATGTGTTTGCATCCATATGGACTCAGGTATTTATTCTGTACTTTAAGTTATAATCCAATACTAGTTCATTTATTCTGTTGTTCAAACGGTCCCAGTTTGGACCATTGGAAGCTCTTTCAGTGTGCTCTTGTCTCCCTTTCACATACCCCAATCATTGCAGGTTTGTTTTTTCTCTCTACTGATTTATTGTTTTTTCTTTGTTATTTTTAATTGAATTTATTGAGATGACATTGGTCAATAAAATTATGTAGGCTTCAGGTGACAATTCTATAATACACCCTCTGTACTGTGTGTTCACCACCCCAAGTTAACTCTCCTTTGGGGTTTTGTTTTTGTTTTCAGCATTTTATTACTTTCTGCACTACAAAATGCCCTGGGATCAGGTTGTATATTTCCTGCCCTAGTCCTTGAATCAGCCATTTCTGCAAGGAACTCTGGTTCATTTTATTGGAGAATGGTGTTAGAAACCAAGAGCTAGACACTAGATTGCTTCTAGGCCCTCTCAGCTGATATAGTTTGAGGAGATATGTGTATACAGTAACCTGTGTAGATATATATATATACATTTATAAATGTTGCTACATGTCACCAACTGTATCTATATTAAGCTAAACACGATGCTCCCTGTCCCAGCCTCCACACTGTCTTACTGCACTGTGTGCCTTTGCCTGTGTCTTCCTTGAGAATAGGAGCTCTTTGAGGACAGAGGCCATGGCCATTCATTTCCATATCAATGTCTAGCAAAGGCTTGGGATATAGGACAGAGTCAGAAAATGTTGGATGCCCTCGCTGGTTTGGCTCAGTGGATAGAGCATCAGCCTGGGGACTGAAGGGTCCCAGGTTCAATTCCAAGTCAAGGGCACATGCCCAGGTTGTGGGGACATGCAGCAGGTAGCCAATCAATAAGTCTTTCTCATCCTTGATGTTTCTATCTCTCTTCCTCTCCCTTTCTCTCTGAAATAAATAAAAATATTTTTTAAAAAGAAAAAGAAAAACAGTATCTATTGTGGTACTTAACCATCGACAAATAATTATTTAAAAAAAAAGAAAAAGAAAGAAAACGTTTGTTGGATGAGTGAATGGATGTCCTGGGGATGAGAAAAACTATAGACTTGGAGACATGGAGGGCACACAGAGACAGTTTGCAGGGAGAAGCGGCCTGGGAGAAAGGGTCAGTGTTTGGAGAGAGTGTAAGGTCTCGGGTAGCGAGGAATGAGATTTGAGGGTAAGGTTCTGGGTGGAAAAAATGGAAGGATTTGGAGGCACTGGAGTGGGACAGAAAAGAGAACAAAACAATAAACACTTTATAAATAATTATTTAACCCACACGACAACCCTGTGCGATAGTGATTAGCGTCTCCACGTTCGTAGACGGAGAAACTGAGGCATATGGAGGTAAGCAACTTGCCCAAGAGAAAATCGCTCGTGGGGGTGATGTGCGCTTCGCACTGTCATCCTGGCTCCAGTCCATCCTCTTTCTGGATACAGGGCCTGGCACGCAGTCAGTACTGAACAAAGGCCAGCTGTTCCTACTATTGTCATTACGTGGGGGCCTTGGAGGAGCAGGCTGAAGGGTCTGTGAGTCGCCCTTGGATCCAACACTAGCCTAGACCCGAGAACAAGGCAATTCGGAGGAATAGGTGCGCCGGTGGGGTGGGCGAGGGACCCGTTTCCAT